TTTTTTTTTTTTTTTTTTTTTTTTTTTTTTTTTGAGACAGGGTCTCACTATGTAGTTGAAACTGACCTGGAACTCACTATGTAGCCCAGGCTGGTTTCTAACTCAGAGATGCTCCTGCCTCAACCTCCTGAGTGCTGGGATCATAGCTGTGCACCACCACGTCCGGCTACACAGCCATGGTCTTCAAGATCACATGTTTATGTAGTGAACACCCAGTACTTATTCTTCCTTTACCCCAATTTTCCTGCTAGTATCCACTCATCCTCCATATAATTTATGACCTTGTGGGAAAACAACTTCATTCCCAGCTCCCGACCAGCCTCGTCATTGGAAGAGACCATCAACATAAGCCATCATTTCTTTGAACGCAAACATCAACGAAGGATGTAGGACGTAACCTGCTATAGTCATGCACACACACTCGGGCCTATCTTGGAGTAATGGAGAGGAATGCACTCTCCCTACATATGGAAGAGGAAAAATTTACTTCTGTTGCTACTGACAACACACAGTCATCACCAAAGCCAGTCGTAGGATGAAGCTGGTGTTGAATGACACTACATAGAGATGGGAAACAAAACTGTGAACCATGAGTACTCCCAAGTTTGAGGACACTTTGCCCATTGGGCTTTGTAGTCCCACTTAATTATTTTTAGCCAGTTTCACTTGGACTCAACTCATCAAAACATTTAAACCAGTATGGAAAATTATAAACCATTGCAATGGCTATTTATCTCTTTTCTCTCTAGGAATACATATCAAGGGTACTCATGTATTTTACCAAAGAGCCAGTGCATACTCTTCTGATTTAATTAATTCCATAGAATACCATAACATCTATATCTAAGAACTGTATACCTGCTAAAGTTCTACTAAAATGTATTAGACTTTGACCATTACACCATAACCTTGTAGGTTAAAATAGCTACAGTAATCCACATTCAAATGGCGAGTGCTCTAAAATCAGCTGTAAATGTCACAACTTGCTCTGTCTCAGATACAATTAGGGACATTTGCCATATTGTAAATGCTGTCTTTTTAGACAGTGTTTCTCGCAGGCACAATAGGAGACTGGCGCACTGATCCTGTTTTCCACGTCTAGAGGTATTGAAGAACACAAATTTTTAAACTTCTCAAGCCTAGTGGTGCCTGGATTCTAGTTATTTTAAAACATTTTAAAGTTTTTAACTCCTCCAAATTGCTATCATAGCAATATGCATAGCTCAAGACATTATAAATCAGTCGTTGAGTGTGAGAACTGGAATGTAGTTTGATACCTTTCCTTTTCTGAAACCTAAACAAATCATTGAATTACCAACCAGTCTGTCCTTCTAAAGGGAAAGAAACTGGTGAAAATTACTGAGGAGGGGTCATGGCAGGGTGTGCCTGTAGTACCAGCTACTCAGGAGGCTGAGGCAAGAGAATTGCTTGAGCCTGGGAGTTTAAGACCAGCCTGGGCAATGCAACAAGTTCCTTTTCAAAAAGTATTGTTTCAAATACAATATAAAATGCCTTAAGGCTGGAGTCATAATTTCAGTGTTATGTATGGTTGATGTCTGTGTGTGGTGTGGGGATCCTGCTTCTCCTGAGAGTAGATTATTCTCTGCCCTCTGCATTTTTTTTTTCTTTTCCTGAAATGGAAGTTTCAGAGGTGCAAGTAAAAGTTGATTTCACAGTGGACAGAGCTGCTCTGAAATTTTACATGTCAGCACCAGACCGGCAAAATGAAGAATATCCCTGAAAACACTGCAGAAATTATCTAAGACAAAATGAGAGACAGACATTATATGGCTAATTTTACATTTGGGTGGAGATGTGAGGAAATGAAGAGGCTTCTGGCGCTGCTTTAAGAGCTAAGTCAGGTCTGTACTGCCCCGAGCGTGCACAACACAGCAGCCGTCGGAGGATCCCTCAGGGTGATTGTTTAGTGACAGTTCCTCAGGCAATGAAGCCTACTGGTGATAGCCAGAGACTGGTTGTTTTGGGCCACATTACCCCCTTACTTGGAGAGTCTCCTTGCCTTGACCTTCAGCCTGGGTGGGCTTGCTGGGAAGGAAAGGAGGCATCTGCTTGCCAGGTGCTGCTGAACTCGAGCCATCTTCTTGCTGCAGCTCCGCGGCTCACAGATGGTACCTGGGATGGTTCGGTTATGTTGTGAACTCAAAGGGTCTTTGCTGGCTGCTGGAGTCCCGGATGTCATGGTCCCGAGAGGTGGTACAGCCTTCACGGGGCAGGGCCTCACAGGAAGCCAGTCATTTGGGGCAGAACATACGATGTGCTGAGTTGCTGAAAGAGTGGTTGTTATAAAAGAGCCACACTGGGCCCTCGCTGGGCTCTGGCTTTCTTCCTGTCCTCCATGTGATCGCCCGTTCATAAGTGCTCCCACCATGATGTCACTGGCCACATCGTGATGGAGCCCAGACAGCGCTCACCACAGGCAGAACAGATGGAGCCCCTAGGTGTTGGATTTCCAGCCTCCCTAAACTGAAAGCTAAATTAAAAAAAATAAATGAATAAAAGCACCTGTTCTCCGTTATCTTATTAACGGCAACAGAAAACGGGCAGTACAATGCCTGAACTTCCACCCTGATCAGCTCCCCCAAAGCCTGATCCCTCGAGTCAGCTGCTTGTCTGGCTGATTCATTTCCCATCTTGTCGTTGTCGAGAGTCTGGGAAAGACCATTTCCCACTCCCCATTGTGGGCCCTGACTGTCATTAGACAGAGTACTACTACTTCCCCTACTGGGAGATCAGGCATCATTTTTGTTTCTTTATTACTGTCAGGTGAATGCAAGTGCACTTGAAGTGATTGAATAGATACAATCAATGCTCTGAATAAATTAACTAATTTTTAAGATGTACCATTTATGCTATTTCTTCAACAGGAAGGGGATGAATGCATGATATAAACATTTTATAATATATATTCACCAAGAGGTAATTATTTACATATCTACAATTCGACCTCTTAATGTATCAGTTACTAGTTCCCATTGCCGGAACTAAGTACCTGGCACCTGTAACTTAGAAGAGATACAGTTTGGCTCATAGTTTCAGAAGTTTCAGTCTATGTTCAGCAGGCTTAAAGAGAAAAGGGCATAGTGGAAGGGACTGGCTGGAGAAAAGCTGTTCATGTCACAGCAGCCAGAAAGAGAAAGGAGCAGCCGGGGAGATCACCCTTCCAGATTGTGTCAGAGGAGAGGGACCTGCCTCTGCTGACCACACCCACCTCCTAGCAGCAAGTCAGCTCCATCACAGAAGGATTTTGGGGACATTGTTGCTGTAAACCGTAGCAGAGGACAAGAATACCTCCAGGTCACCCACCTTTTCCCACCAGACTCCACCCACTAAGAGCACGTCCAGCTCTGGGCTTGGTGCCCCAGGATCCAAACATCTGCCCAAACCCCACCGCTGAACACATGAAACTCGGAACATTTTAGACCTAAATCTTAACAGTTAGCTGGAAAATATCCTATTTTTAAAGACAGCACAAAACATTTTACACAGGTGGACTCAAGCATAATAGTCGAAGTACAATAATTGTGTTTATGCCCATTTTACAGAGATAGTCTATTTCTATACATTCAAGAGCAACAGGTCTTACAAATACCTAATTCTTATGCAATGTGCACCTTTGATGTGGAAAGAGAGTGACCCTGGCTTTCTAAAGTTGAGTTGAAAATTCCCACCCACAGCTGGGTACCCGCCTTCAGGAAACATCAGGGAGCCCGTGTCACTGGGCCCATGTGGTGGTTAAAAATAAGCAAGAAATTTTAGAGAATTCAAATATTAGTTACAAGTAAAACAAGTTAGAACCAGTAGAAGTACTTGTTCAAGGTCTTTGAAGACATAGTTAGCCTTAATTTGTTATGCCAGCTTAAATGGGAAGATTATCTGCCATGGTCTCTCTTTTTGGGATGAGTGGACTCTTCCTGTGACCTTACTCAGTGTGCACTGACCCGTATGAATCTTCTTGCTTGATGCTTTACATTCACGGGACGATTTAAGCATCACGACAACTTGAACCACAGCCCATCTAACTCTCAAGACTTCAAACATTAGATAACTCGTGCAAAACGACACAGATGAGAAGTAAGTGATGGGAAGAGCCAGTGGTTAGACCTTTTTGTTTTTCCCTCCAAAATTAGAAACTTTCTTCTATGCATCCATCCTGCCTCTGGTATTGGGATCTATCTTGACTATGCAGGATAGATTGTGTCATAAACATTCAGAGGGGGCCTGCCTTCAGATAACAGTCAGATCTCGATCCACGC